ATTTTTGCATTTCGGAATGTAACAACTGCTCGGCATCTTTCCAGAATTTTTACAATTACAAATTTACAATTAAAAAAAAAAATTTTAATTATGAAAAATTAAAAAATAAATAAAATAAAATTCAATAAAGATAAATAGATAAATTAATAGATCCCTTTCAAAGATTACGTCGAAGCAGTCCAGTGATTAGCGATCCGTTGAATCCGCTTCCGCGTAATCCGCTCCATGGGACTGTAGAGGTGCAAACCCATGCAGCAGAATAGCGTAACACGGAACGAGAGCGGAACCAATCACGAGCGTTCCGATGCGCACTGAGTACGCACTCTTTCAGTATTTAGTATTCGGTTGGCTTGCCCTGTACTGGTTCAGAATTTTATGTGTATTCAGTTGATAATGCACTAAAAATATGTGCTAGTGAAAACGTGTTCGACTGAACTGCATTATCCCAGTGCAGTGTTATTTGTACGTTCGGTTGAAATACATTAGATTTTCGACAGTGCAGTTCAGTGCAAATTTGAGTATTCCAATGAAAACATATGGCAGGTAAAATATTATTATTAGATGAACTGTTAAATAGTTCGAGCAGTTCTAGCGATGAAGAAATGATGACAGTATTAATGCGACATATGAAACACAAATTCCGAAAGTTCAGAATATGATAAATATTATAAATGAATATTCTGATAAAGAGATATTATCATGAGGCTGTGTTCCGATTCTTCACCCGATGGGTGATAGTCGGGTGAGCGGGTAATGGGCGGAGTTTAACGAAAAGTGTCTGAGAGGATAATGGAATCAGAACGCACTCCGTAGGAATCTGAAGTCTCCAAACGGCGTTGGCATCTTGGGCTATGTTCCGATTCTTCACCCGATGGGTGATAGTCAGATGAGCGGGTGATGGGCGGAGTTTAACGAAAAGTGTCTGAGAGGATAATGGAATCAGAACGCACTCCGTAGGAATCTGAAGTCTCCAAACGGCGTTGGCATCTTGGTAATGCGTGATCGCCCTATCTAGTTAGAAATTAATCAATGGTTGAGTTATCAAAGGAAAGCGGGCAAAGAAAGAAAATTATTGTGCGTTGTAACTATAAACGTTTTCACACTATCACTATTCGACTTCGCAGTTTTACTAACAATCAAAGCGTCAATATTAGTATTAACAATGTATAAATTTCTTCTTTTTTTTTCTTTTGACATAAGCCTGTAAATCTCTGTAAATACCTGTAAAAACCTGTTGCCCAAATGCAGTTTATAGCATGATGTAATAATATATATTGGCCGTGTTCTGATATTCGCTGCCAGTACCGAAAATCTATAGTGTATGTCATATACACTATAAATCATAGACATAGTATATCTAGCGTTTGCCTTTATTTAAGGAGTGGGAGCCGATGCCTACATAGAAAAGGACATACTCTGTTTCGTGCCCCTTGCGTTCTCTCTCG